TTATTTGCTCAGGTGGCGCTAATTTGTCACGATGTTTGTCTGGACTGCGACGAAAAAAGGAAAAATGGTTGAGATCGTCAAGTCGCGAGATAGTGATTTATTGCTAGTAAAATCTGTCTTTAATTGTTATTACTGGAGATAAGACGAAACTCGGAGTCGTTTTTGTAATTGTCTTAATTTTACGAGTGTCGGTTTATTGCTTCGACGTCGCAAACACGGTTGTCGATGCCGAGTTTGTACATTTAAAAATTCCAACGGTGAAAACTGTTTCGATTTAATTTACTCCGACAGTGGCGAATCCCTCGTCTGCACAAACGGACCAAAATGCTGAACACTTTGTTGCAATAAATACACTAATAAAAATTGGTCGCTCCCTCGCCCCTGAAGTACAGTCCAACAATGATTTTGCAACATTTACTTTTTTGTGATTACCTCTATGCAGTAAAAACAATGTAGAACAGTGTAAGAGAAAAAGAAGTTTCATCTTCTTAAAAAAAGACAGTTGGGACCCCAGACAACGTTTCACCTTCTTTTAAAAAAAAAACAACAATTAGGGCACGTGGGAAGGTCTCACGTTCTTAAAAAAAAAGACAGTTGAGGTCCCCGACAAGATTGAGTTGGGGCCTCCGAGAACGTTCCATTTAAAAAAAAAAAGGACAGTTAGGGGCCTCGACAAGGTTTCACATTCTTTAAAAAAAAAAAACAGTTGGGGGCCCTGAGAAGTTTTCACATTCTTTAAAAAAAGAGACAGTTGGAATCCCTGAGAAGGTTACACATTTTTCAAAAAAAAAATTGGGACCCCGGAGAAGGTTACACATTTTTCAAAAAAAAAAAAACAACTGGGGTCCCCGAGAAGGATTCACATTAAAAAAATACAATTGGGAGCCCTGAGGAGGTTTCATATTCTTAAAAAGAAAGACAATTGGGGCCACCGAGAAGCTGTCGCATTCTTTAGAAAAAGACAGTTGGGACCCCCGAGATTTCACTTTTCAAAAAAACAGTTGGGACCTCTGACTAGGTTTCACATTCTTCATAAAAAACATTTGGGGTCCCCGAGAAGGTTCCACATTTAAAAAAAAAAGGACAGTTAGGGGCCTCGACAAGGTTTCATATTCTTTAAAAAAAAAAAAACAGTTGGAGGCCTTGAGACGTTTTCACATTCTTTAAAAAAAAAGACAGTTGGGATCCCTGAGAAGGTTACACATTTTTCAAAAAAAAAAATTGGGACTCCTGAGATTTCACTGTTCAAAAAAACAGTTGGGACCTCTGACAAGGGTTCACATTCTTCATAAAAAACATTTGGGGTCCCCGAGAAGGTTCCACCTTCTTTAAAAAAAGACATTTGGGACCCCCGAGAAGGTTTAATTCATAAAAAAAGAACATTTGGGACCCGTGAGAAGGTTTCACATTCTTCAAAAAAGACAGTTGAGGCCTCCGAGAACGTTTCACTTTTATAAAAAAATCAGTTGGAGTCTCCTAGAACGTTTCACATTCCTTAAAAAAGCGTACGTTTCCCATTCTCTAGAAAAGTACGGTTGGAACCTCAGACAACAGGTGGGACCCCAAGGAGGTTCTACAATCTTCAAAAAAAAAAATACAGTTGGGGCCCCCGAGAAGCTTCCACCTCCTTTAAAAAAGACGGTTGGGACCCCAGAGAAGGTTTCATTCGTAAAAAAAGCAGTTGGGACCAACGACAAAGTTTCAGATTCTTTAAAAGAAAAGCAGTTACGGCCCCTGAGAAGATTTCGGTTTTTCTTAAAGAAAATACAGTTGGGACCCTCACAAACAAGATTTCACATTCTTTAAAAAAAGATAGTTGCGATAGCCCGAGAATGTTTCACACTAAAAAAAAAGACAATTAGCGGCCAAAAAAACCAGTTTGGACCCCCGAAAAGGTTTCACATTCTTTAAAAAAAGACAGTTGAGGGCCCCGATCCCCTGAGAAGGTTCCAAATTCTTTAAAAAAATAGTTGGGACCTTCGAGAATGTTTCAATTTCTTAAAAAAATACATTTGGGACCAATGTTTCACACTAAAAAAAGACAATTGGTGGCCACATTCTTAAAGAAAAGATAGTTGGGACCCTTGAGAAAGCTTCACATTCTTAAAACAAAAGGCAGCTTGGGACCCCGTGAAGGTTTCATCTACTTTAATAAGAAAGCGTTGGGCGCCCGAGAAGGTTTCAATATCTTTTAAAAAAGTTGGGGCCTTCGAGAAGGTTTCATGTTATTTGAAAAAAAAAACAACAATTGGGGCCTCCATGCAGATTTCACATTATTTAAAAAATAACAGTTGGGGCCCCGAGAAAGTTTCACATTCTTCACAAAAACACAGTTGGCCCCGTCGAGAAGGTTTCACTTAAAAAAAAAAATACATTAGTTGGGACCTCCGAGAAGGTTTCATTCTTAAAAAAAGAACAATTGGGACCCGTGAGAAGGTTTCACATTCTTAAAGAAAAGACAGTTGGGGCCCCCGAGAAGGTTTCATCTTCTTTAACAAACAAGAGATGGGTTACCGAGAAGGTTTCACATTCTTCAAAAAAGCAGTTGGGACCTCCGAAAAGGTTTCAACTTATTTGAAGAAAACAACAGTCGGGGCCTCCAAGAAGGTTTCACCTTCTCTAAAAAAATACAGTAGGGACTCCAGACAAGGTTTCACATTCTTTAAAAAGAAAACAGTTGGAATCCCCGAAGAGGTTTCACACTGTTCAAAAAAATACAGTTGGGGGCCCCGAGAAGCTTCCACTTTTTTTAAAAAAAGACGGTTGGGACCCCTGAGAAGGTTTCATTCGTAAAAAAAACAGTTGGGACTCTCGACAAAGTTTCACATTCTTTCAAAAAAATATAGTTGGGACCCCAGACAAGATTAAGATAGTTGGGATACTCTGAGAATGTTTCACACTAAAAAAAAAAAAAAAAACAAATAGAGGCCACGAAAAGGTTTCACATTCTTTAAAAAAAGATAGTTGGGATACCTCGACAATGTTTCACACTAAAAAAAAGACAATTAGTGGCCACATTCTTAAAGAAAAGACAGTTGACCCCGTCGAGAAGGTTTCACCTTTAAAAAAAAATATATAGTTGGAACCCCCTAGAAGGTTTCATTCTTAAAAAAAGACAGTTGGGACCCCTGAGAAGGTTTCACAATCTTAAAAAAAATGCGCTTTGGGCCCCTGGAAGGTTTCATCTTCTTTAACAAAAAAGAGTTGGGCTCCCGAGAAGGTTTCAACTTCTTTGAGAAACAACAGTTGAGGCCTTCGAGAAGGTTTCATCGTATTTGGAAAAAACAACAATTGGGGCCTCCAAGCAGATTTCACATTCTTTAAAAAACAACAGTTGGGGCCCCCGAGAAGGTTTCACGTTCTTCAAAAAAACACAGTTGGCCCTGTCGAGAAGGTTTCACTTTTTTTAAAAGAAAAAGATAGTTGGGATCCCCGAGAAGGTTTCATTCTTAAAAAAAAGAACAATTGGGACCCGTGAGAAGATTTCACATTCTAAAAAAAAGACAGTTGGGGCCCCCGAGAAGGTTTCATCTTCTTTAACAAACAAGAGTTGGGTTACCGAGAAGGTTTCACATTTTTCAAAAAAACAGTTGGGATCTCCGAAAAGGTTTCAACTTATTTGAAAAAAACAACAGTCGGGACCTCCAAGAAGATTTCACACTCTTTAAAAAATAACTGCTGGGAGCCGCGCAAAAGTTTCACATTCTTTGAAAAGACAGTTGGGACCCCGAGATGGTTTCATTCTTAAAAAAAGACAGTTGGGACCCCTGAGAAGGTTTCACGTTTTTAAAAAAAGACAGTTGAAGCCCCTGAGAAGGTTTCACCTTATTTAAAAAAGACAGTTCGGACCCCTGAGAAGGTTTCACATTCTTTAAAAAGAAAACAATTGGAACCCCCGAAGAGACTTCACAATGTTCAAAAAAATACAGTTGGGGGCCCCGAGAAGCTTCCACTTTCTTTAAAAAAAGACGGTTGGGACCCCTGAGAAGGTTTCATTCGTAAAAAAAAACAGTTCGGACTCTCGACAAAGATTCACATTCTTTCAAAAAAATACAGTTGGTACCCCAGACAAGATTTCACATTCTTTAAAAAAAGATATTTGGGATACTATGAGAATGTTTCATACTGAAAAAAAAAAAATAATTAGAGGCCACGAAAAGGTTTCACATTCTTTAAAAAAAGATAGTTGGGATACCTTGACAATGTTTCACACTAAAAAAAAAATTAGTGGCCACGTGAAAAACGCGAACTCTGAAATAACCTCAATTAAACATGATGCGATAGTTTCAAATTATAAAAGAACAATCATGTTAATTGCATATGTATGTATGCATTTATTACAGTTACGTACATTTTAACAAACAATATACAGTAAGTACAGGAATAGTTCAAAAAATAACAGTGATGGTGAAATTTTACAAAAGGCACTTCTCGATTTCGCACAAACTGTTTGCGTAAAACTCTTCTACATCAGCCCCTGATCACGTTCCTTACCTTCAAAAGTTGCGCAAATACTTCCTTGTGTCAGGAAAAAAGTTAGGTTATGTTGGTAACAGCTTCTCATTAAAGAGTGTACGAATGGGAAATTTAACAATTTTTTTGTGGCAAAAGGAAGCATTGAAGGTGAGGAACGCGTGCTGTGGAAGAAAGAAGGGTCTTTTGTAAAATTTTACCAATGGGACAAAATGATTAATCTCCTCAGTGTTTTTATTTCTTAAGAGAAAATTAATGGCTTCACTGCGTATACGTGTTTAATTTATATAAATTGACAACGCAGAGTTAAAACTCCATCCTTGCGTCCCTGGGTCGATGCACTCTTTTTTTGTTTCCTAAAAATCTGGATGTCTGGGGCGAAAACTCAACACGGATTATGAAAGCACACGTGGAGTATGTAATTTTCAGACAAAGGGACAGACAGACGGAAATTGGCACCTATTTTTTCGTATTCTAGGGGTTACGAAACGTCGAGCTCATGCTCAAGAAGTGGAAAAACAACAAAATAATTTACAATTTTTTTTATTGGCCTGGCAAAAAATACGTAACACAATTTATTTATTCTTATGCGCTTCTTTCTCTTGTTGCACATGATTATAGGCAACATAACCAATTGCACACATGATGGCAATTGTTACTCCAGCACCCAATAGAACTGCCACACCTCCACCACCCGCTATTGTCATTACAAACCCCCCAATTGTTATCACCAAATTTAAAGTCGGACTGTCCATCTTAATACTCTAGAATAACAAAATTAGTACGCGATTCTTTACTTGTTACTTGTTTATTACTTGCTTAATCTTATTACTTACTTATGTATTGAAGTCGACAACAGTTTTACGCAAATTCAATCAATTGTGGTACAAAAAAAATTCCTTCCACTATGATAAGAAAGTTTCTATAACAAAATCTAATCTGATAAAAGATAAGAAAACTCGCGAACTTTCGAAAACACCCAAACTCTTCACACGTGGAGGAGCATGTTATTTTATAAAACTTATTCGGCAAAATTGTAAGATGATACGATAATTTTTTGGGAACGGCCATGAACGAATAAATTTTTTTCTAAAAATTTGAATATCTAGGGTAACAAAAACACAACACGGATTCATAACCCACATGTGCAAGAGTGTCTTAAACAGTTGGCAGCCCTGAGGTTTCACATTTTTCAAAAAAAGACATTTGGGACCCCCGAGAAGGTTCTGCTTTCTTTAAAAAAAAGACAGTTCAAGTCCGAGGTTTCATTCTTAAAAAAAAGAACAATTGGGACCCCTGAGAAGGTTTCACATTCTTCAAAAAAAGACAATTGGGGCCCCCGATAAGGTTTCACATTAAAAAAAAATACAGTTGGGACCCCCGAAGAGATTTCACATTCTTAAAAAAAAGACAGTTGGGGCCACCGAGAAGCTGTCACATGCTTTAAAAAAAGACAGTTGGGACCCCCGAGATTTCACTCTTAAAAAAACAACCTGACAAGGTTTCACATTCTCCAAAAAAGCCACTTGGGTCCATCGAGAAGGTTCCACCTTCTTTAAAAAAAGACATTTGGGACCCCCGAGAAGGTTTACCTACTTCTTAAAAAAAAAGAACAATTGGGACCGGCGAGAAGGCTTCACATTCTTCAAAAAGAGACAGGTGAGGCCCTGAGAACGTTTCACCTTTTTTAAGAAATCGGTTGGAGCCTAGTGGAACGTTTCACATTCTTTAAAAAAGGGTAGTTGGGGGCCCCGGGACGGTTTCACATTCTATGAAAAGATAGTTGGTGCCCCCGAGAAGGTTTCACTATCTTTAAGAAATACAGTTGGGACCGCCGAGAAGGTTTCACAATCTTCAAAAAAAAAGACATTTGGGGCCTCCGAGAAGGTTGCACATTCTTTAAGTTTAAAAGAAGGCAGTTGGAACCTTCGACAAGGTTTCAAATTCTTAAAAAAAAGCTATTGGGGCCCCTGAGAAGATTTCACATTCTCTAAAAAATACATTTGGGACCCCAGACAAGGTTTCACATTCTTTAAAAAAAGAGTTGGGAGGCCCGAGAAGGCTTCACATTAAAAAAAAACAGTTGGGGTATCCGAGAAGGTTTTAATTTCTTTTAAAAACAACATTGGGAATCTAGCATTAAGGATTTAAAAACTGCTGTCAAGAATAAGTTTAATGATATTTTTTAATTATTTTTTAATTTGTACCTATGGTCAATCTATTAGTATAATATATTTATTGTAGTCGATTAATCTTGAAATTTTGTTTTGGATTTTGATTTGATTTGATTTTTTAAATTTTTTGTTTATTTTTTGTATCTAAATTTTCTAATTAGACATTCCTTAAGTTGAGCTTGGTTATATTATATTATAGTTAATATATATGCATTTTTTTTTTTTTGTTGTATATATATATATATATATAATAACTTCTACTTTATGCTATAGATACTAGTGAAGCACTTTCTGCTGCTACTCATTTGATTCTTGTGTTCATACATTGTCCTGTAAATGGAAAACATTTTCTGTTGGGCAATAAAATTATTATTATTATTATTATTATTATTATTAACAGTTGATGCCTTGGAGAAGGTTTCATCTTCCTTAAAAAAACAACAGTTGGCTCCGCCGAGGTTTCACCTTCTTAAAAAAAAGACAGTTGGGACCTTGGAGAAGGTTTAACCTTCTTTAGAAAAAGGACATGTTGGGTCTCCCGACAAGGTTTCATTCTTAAAAAAAAACTGTTGGGACCCCTGAGAAGGTTTCACATTCTAAAAAAAAAGACAGTTGGGGGCCTCGAGAAGGTTTCACATTCTTTGAAAAGAAGACAGTTGGGAGCCCACGAGAAAATTTCATCTTCTTTCAAAAACAATTGCGGCCTCCTAGAAAATTTCACATTCTTTAAAAAAAGTCAGTTGGGAGCCCCCGAGAAGGTTTCATCTTTTTTAACAAACAACAATTGGGGCCTCCGAGAAGGTTTCACATTTTTCAAAAAAAGACAGTTGGGGGCTTCGAGAAGGTTTCATATTCTTTGAAAAGAAGACAGTTGGGAGCCTCGATTCCCAGATGACTCCTAGGTCTCTGATTTCACTAACCTTCCAGGAAATGGTTGTTAATACTAAGGTATATAGAAATTTTATAATGTTTTTTTTCTTGGAGAATGTTATCTATTTACATTTATATTTATTCAATAACATACCATTATTGTTGCACCAGTTTGATAATATCGTCAGGGCAGATTGCAGAGTTGAGTGACAGGGCTAGATCGTTGATAAATAGTAAAAATAAAATGGGAGCAATATGTCTACCTTGTGGAACTTCAGAAGGAATAGAAATAGGATCAGATAGAAAACTTTGGACTGATATGTTCTGGGTAGGATTTGATAGGTACGAGGCTATCCAACTATGAAGAGGGCCGTATACACCGTACATACGTAATTTATTTTTTTTAAAGAAGGGTATGATTGGGTTAAGCGAAAGCTTTACAAAAATTAAGATATATCGCATCGACTTGGGAACCTTCGTCTAATGCGTCTATAATAAATTCGTTGTAGATGGTTGCTATAATTGAAATAGGACGATAATTTGTAATCTTTGCTTTGTCGCTTGATTTATGCAAAGGTATGACATAAGAAAGTTTCCAGATGTCAGGGCAAGTACCAGAAGTTAAAGATTTAGTATATAGGATCCAGATTGGGCAGCCTAGATTGGAAGCACATTGTCTAAAAAAAAAGAAGGAACATCATCTGGACCAGGATTAAAACTAGATTTAAGTGATGTTAATTAATGTTTTACATCATCAAGACTGCTGTCGATGAAATGTAAATAAAAAACTTCTTTAAAAAATAATATGTAGTAAGAAGGTTCCAAATTCTTTAAAAACAGAACTTCCTTCGTTCTTGAAATGTAGTTCGACAAATCTTGCCGTTTTAAAATACTTATAAAATTTGATTTTGCAATTTTCGTTCTATAATTCTAATACTTGTCAAGATAAGACTGATTTTGGCAAATGACCTACTCTCTAAGAAAATAAAGAGTGGGTGGGTGGAGCTAATACTTGTCAAAATAAGACTAATTTTGTCAAATACCATACCTTCTAAGGAAATAATGGGCGGGTGGGTGGGGCTAATACTTGTCAAGAAAAGACTGATTTTGGCAAATGACCTACTCTCGAGAAAGTTTCATCTTATTTGAAACAAAAACAACAATTGGGGCCTCCATGCAGATTTCACATTTTTTAAAAAATAACAGTTGGGGCCCCGAGAAGGTTTCACATTCTCCAAAAAAACACAGTTGGCCCCGTCGAGAAGGTTTCACTTTCTTTAAAAGAAAAAGATAGTTGGGACCCCCGAGAAGGTTTCATTCTTAAAAAAAAGACAGTTGGGGCCGCCGAGAAGGTTTCATCTTCTTTAACAAATAACAATTGGGCCACCGAGAAGGTTTCACATTCTTTAAAAAAAGATATTTGGGATACTATGAGAATGTTTCACACTGAAAAAAAATAATTAGAGACCACGAAAAGGTTTCACATTCTTTAAAAAAAAGATAGTTGGGATACGTCGGCAATGTTTCACTAAAAAAAAAGAATTAGTGGCCACGCGAAAAACGCGAACTCTGAGATAACTTCAATTAAACATGATGCGATGGTTTCAAATTATAAAAGAACAATCATGTTAATTGCATATGTATGTATGCATTTATTACAGTAAGTACAGGAATAGTTAAAAAAATAACAGTGATGGTGAAATTTTACAAAAGGCACTTCTCGATTTCGCACAAACTGTTTGCGCAAAACTCTTCTACATCACCCCCTGATCACGTTCCTTAGCTTCGAAAGTTGCGCAAATGCTTCCTTGTGTCAGAAAAAAAGTTAGGTTATGTTGGTAACAGCTTCTCATTAAAGAGTGTACGAATGGGAAATTTAACAATTTTTTTGTGGCAAAAGAAGCATTGAAGGTGAGGAACGTGTGCTGTAGAAGAAAAAAGGTATTTTGTAAAATTTTACCAATGGGACAAAATGATTAATTTCCTCTGTTTTTTTATTTCTTAAGAGAAAATTAATGACTTCGCTGCGTATACGAGTTTAATTTATATAAATTGACAACGCAGAGTTAAAATTCCATCCGTGCGCACTCTTTTTTTGTTTCTTAAAAATCTGGATGTCTAGGGCGAAAACTCAACACGGATTCATAAAGCACACGTGGAGTGTGTAATTTTCAGACAAACGAACCGACAGACGGAAATTGGGACCTATTTTTTCGTATTCTAGGGGTCATGAAACGTCGAGCTCATACTCAAGAAGTGAAAAAACAACAAAATAATTTACCATTTTTTTATTGGCCTAGGAAAAAATACATAAAACAATTTATTTATTCTTATGGGCTTCGTTCTTTTGATGCACATATTTATAGCCAACATAACAAATCCCACAGATGATCCCAACTGTTATTGTACCAGCCAATACATATGCCACACCTCCAGTAGCCGCCACTTGTACTACATACTGCCCAGCTCGTATCCCAATACTTAAAGTCGTACTATCCATCTTAATACTCTACAATAACAAAAATGGTACTCGATGCTTTGCTTGCTACTTGTTTATTACTTCTTTATTACTTACTTGGGTATAGAAATCGAGAACAATTTCAGGTAAATTCAATCGATTGTGGTACATGAAAAGTTACTTTCACTATGATAAGAAAACTCCTAACAAAATCTAATCTGATAAAAGATAAGAAAATTCGCGGACTTCTGAAAACACCCAAACTCTTCACACATGCAGGATCATGTTATTTTATAAAATTTATTCGGCAGAATTGTAAGATGATAAGATAATTTTTTGGGAAGGCCATGATCGAACAAATGTTTTCATAAAAATTTGGATATCTAGGGTAACAAAAACTCAGCACGGATTCATAAACCACATGTGCAAGAGTATCCTATTTTATAAAATTGATATCATATTTACTAATGTAAATTTTGAGATAACGTTAGGGTAAGTTCAGAAAGTAAAAATAACTAATCTGGATCCATTCACCTCCCCCATCCCTCCCGTCCACAACGCTTCGAAGATAAACCAAATTTCCACCGCCGTGTTGTACGCGATTATGTTAAAGTTTAATGTCGACTCCGTATTCAACAAACTACAAACATAAATCATTACATAAAACCCGACGTACTAAATAAAATTATATCTGCTGTTCATACGAATACCACTTCGTGCACAAGGTGCTCTTCCGCCGTTAGACCATAGTTTAATATCCCATAAAAAGTTTACCTCAACAAGATTCATTATAGATATGACATGTTTCCTTCCGCGTAATTTAATTACGCCATGATAACTACACAATGGAGATTAAACCGGAGACGCCGGCGACGAACTTATTTTATTTAAGTACTTCGTACTACGGTTATGACCCGCGCTTCCACGAAAATCGAAGAATAATAATTTTCGATGTAAAGTGAGTTGTTTCAGAGACCAGCATCTGCGTCGAGAACTCTATTCGTGATTAGTTATTTATAGGCGTTCCAAGGTGTGTAGATTTTTGGGTTTGGATGTTTTTCGGGGAAGATGGAGTCTGTCGGGCTTATTATTAAAACATCAGCTTGATATTCAGCAAAGTAAAAGAAAAATGCGGCCACCGGAACAGCTTCTAAATTGCTCTATACATATTTCGGCAGAACACACAACTTTATATGCATAGTATCTGCTCAGTTCGGCTGCTTTAAATCTTCGCTTTGATAGTTTCAGCCGGCAGACGTCTCGATAAATTTTTACTTCAAAGCGGGCACGAAAAAGGTAAATTACGAGCAGGATATCGGATTCCGGCTGCAATTAGGTAAAACATGGAACATCGATCTTGGAGATCGCCGTTTATAAAATAAAAAACTTATTACAAAATCAATAACCTAGCCCGAATCGCAATTATGGAAATGGTTATCGTCGAAATATTTTATTTCGGGGGAGAAATCCCGGAATAAATTCAGAAAGCTGCATTTCTCTAAATTTCCATCACAACGGTGATGGATCGGCTGCTGTACAAGTGTTTTGCGGGTCACGTGACGCCCATCATTCTTTGTGACGTGCGTAATGTCGAAAACTCATTAAAATGGACATTCTCCCCGAATCGCACCGGCAGGTAGCGAACTCCAAGCTGGAAATTTTCTTTAATTAACAGTAAAAACAATGCAGCGAATTAATAATTACAACTTTCCCGTCGGAGCGCAAACCTGGAGCTTAAACGAGCTTATTTTCATAATAAACCGGCGAATTCGCGTCGGCTTTGAATCATCTCTCCGCAAGAAGTACAACCAGTCATGGGGAAACGATCGAAGACAGTTTCCCAGACGACGCTTGATCAGAGTATCAAAGCGCGCCGAAATCGCACTTAAATAGGCAAAATTTAAAAATTAATTACACTTTTCGGCGAAAATGAAAATTTCGCTTATTAAAGTCGAGTCAAAGGCGGCGGAAATGGCTTTGGGGAAACTTTTTAAAAAGTCGGCGAGAAAGCGAAATTTTCTTATTAATTTCGCACGTTTCGAGCTAGGCTGATAAGTGAGCTATGAGCAGAGACGGTATTTTTAGAAGAGTAGGCTGTGTGGGTAGTTTTCCAATTACATGCCATGAAATGCGTAAGTTTGAGCGATTGTTTGTTTATAATTGTGAAATTACAATGAGTGCAAGTTCGAGCGATTAGGTGTGTTTCGGGAGGGCTTCGGGGAATTTCCTCGGGGATTTACATAACTAACGGTAGTTTGTTTGAAGGATCACTTAGGAAGTTATCTTGTTAATGCAGCACAATGTAGTCGAGATATTTCGGCGTTATCTGTAATTATCGCTTCGTTATTATTAATTACTTTTCGGGTCGTAATAATTGATTTCATCGACTGAGGAGCCGACACAAAAGTCCGGGAGAGGCAGAAGAGGGGACTCGTTGCAGGTGCAAATGTACAAGCAAACATCAATTCTTATTTTTATACTTTATTAAGTTATAAAGGTGTCAGTGGAAAAGTATGAAAGGCCAACGAATCGTACAAATGATTCATGAACACAAGTCGTAACACACTCGACTACGCCTCGGGCGCGAAGTTTTTACCAAAATGCAACAAAAAACAACTCATCAACATCTTTTTTAAATGTTAATAACACACTTAAAATTCAGTGTCAAAGTCTTACATTCAAGGCGTTGTTGTTCTCGAAATTACTTCAACTATTCTTTAAAAATCTGACTCTATAATGGGTGCAGAAGAGGGGAATCGTTGTTATATATACATATATCATCTAACTCAAAATCAAGTTCCTACTTAACTTTTGAACCCAGTTCAAAAATGGCACCAACCCCAAACCCTACACCCCTCCTGCTCCTTCGAGCCGGATCCATCTCCTTTTCTTCGAAATTCGAAAACGGCCCCCGGGCCCCTGCCCCCTCCCCATCCCCGGCGGCACATTTCGCACGCTTCCTGCAGCACAATTCGCGCAAGCTCCACTCGCGACTCCGAGTCCTGGCCGGCGAAATCGCAGTAGCGACGCGGATGCCGCAGCGTCTCGACGCCGATTCCTCCAGGACGAAGGACAACGCGGCGCCGTCATGTGACTGGTCGGTTTCGTGGCGACGTCGATCCACCGCGTGTTTCCAGTGTTGGCAGGTGTTCGCTCGAACTTGAACTGCAGCACAAGGTAAACTTTGTCTATGTAAATCAAGGCCGGAGGTGTTTTTCACGTGGTCGGCGACGTGATGTAATGATCGCACAGGTTGCCCTCCATGGGTGGCGATGGGCAGGGGTGCTTGGGGGGTATCGATTGGGCGTTTTACCGGGAGCCGAGTTAATTACGAAATTAATTAATAATTATTGTTGAATGGTGGGGAGTGAGGAGGTGATGGGGACGTAATTGGTGTCTTTCTTTGTGGTGGAGGAGGCGGCGTTGAATTGAGAATGAAATGGGGGACAAAGGGTTTTGAAATTTTCAAATCGTGTGTGAAATCTTGGTTGCATAATTTTCACGAATTTCGTGCGTTTGTAATGAAACGTGTGATTTGGGTGTTCGATGATCGTAGAACACGAATATGCAAGTTTATGCGTTCCGGTTACCTATTTTTTGTGGAGTTATAAATGTAGAAACATGTAGCGAGTCCCCTCATGTTTACGAACGGGACCTACATTTATTTGCATTTTGACATGCAATGTCATTCTTATCATTATACCAATTCTAAATCGCATCAGTGTATATAGGTCATAAATTTTCGACATCCACGAACTTGCAAATCCTGATAAATATGAATAAATCTTATCTTTTTTAAGTTTTGCGACAAATCAAAATATTCATGTACTGTTCTACTATTGCGTAAGTTATTTCAGTGCAAACTTTGTAAACATTTCCAAACATTATTATTACTATTAATGATATTATTATATAAATTTAAAAAAGTACTCAGTGAAAAATCGTCAGTAATTCGTGCGTATATATACACAACAAACACTGATAAGGATCAAAATGGTTTGAAATCAGTCTAACGAAACATGCAATTGAAAAACTAAAACGTAGGAACTGAGGACCTATAATGGCGCAACAACTTGTAGCGATTCCCCTCGTCTTCACCAAACGTACATAGTTGTGTCTCTTTTACACATGCATACGTTTGAATTCATCCCAAAAGTGCGATTCTGTGGGCGAGTGTTCCACCAACCCTCGAACATTAACAACGCTCTTAACCTCAAAAATTAATTGTTGCAAGATTCTAGACAATTTGTAGCGAGTTCCCTCGTCTTCATAAAACAGACCTACGTGTTACTTATTTAAAGTCGGATTTTTTCACTTTTAAACATTTTCGTGGGCTTTAGCGTCTTATTTCTTCGAAATCGTTAGTAAATCTCATAGATAACTGATAATGGAAACAAACACTGATAAGCATTGACACGTCCTGAGACCAGTCGAACCCAACATGGCAGACTTAAAAGACCAAAGTTCCGTAGCTGCGGCGGATTATTACCAAGTTATAGTAGATAACGTAAAATTGGGCATGACCCATGGCTTCGCTGTAGGCATCCTGATCCTCGTGGGTTTGGGTATCAAAATCAAGTTCTTTGGCGCGAAAAACAAGCAAAAAAACAAGGTAATTTGTAATTTCCTCCGGGTCTAGTTTCCCGATTAAAAACCGAATTCTAGGCGAAGGCTCTTTTAACCTCTTTGGGTCTCCAAAGTGTGATCCCGACCCTGAACGACTACGAGCTTTCCATAGCGTCCCAACTCGTCAAACCATCTGACATTCACGTCACCTTCAAGGACGTCGCCGGTCTCGACGCCACCGTCGCCACCATCAAAAGCAACATCATTTTCCCTCTATTGACCTACCGCTTCCTCAAGAACAAGTCGCGCCACTTTGCCCCTCCCAAAGGGGTTCTCTTGTACGGTCCTCCAGGTTGCGGCAAAACCCTCCTGGCTAAAGCCACCGCCAAGGAAGCCAACGCCAGGTAAACCCGTCCTAGCTCACCATCGAGCTCTACAACGTGTTAACTCCAGATTCCTCAACTTGGAAATCCCCACTCTCACCGACAAGTGGTACGGGGAATCCCAGAAGTTCGCCCTTGCTGTGTTCACCCTCGCGCAGAAGATCCAACCCTGTATTATTTTCATTGATGAAATCGACACGTTCTTGAGGGCTAGGGGGACGTCGGATCACGAGGTTACAGCTATGGTGAAGGCGCAATTCATGATGTTGTGGGACGGGCTGCTTTCGGAGGAAGACGGGGGGGTTATAGTCATGGGGGCTACCAATAGGCCGTTTGACGTAGACGAGGCCATTTTGCGTCGGATGCCCACCAAGCTGGAAGTATCGAAGCCCGATTTTGCCAAGAGGAAGGCGATTTTGGAGCTGTTTCTGGATGGGGAGGTGTTAGTGGACGTGGATTTGGATAAGTTGGCGGAAAGGACGGATGGGTCGTCTGGGAGCGATTTGAAGGAGTTGTGTCGGAGGGGGGTTTCGGCACCTATGAGGGAAGCTGAGGGGACGGTTTTGAGGTTTGTGGAAAAGGGGGACGAGGAGGGGTTGGAGGAGTTTTTGGGGAGTTTGAGGGGGGTGGAGTTTGACGACTTCGAGACGGCTTTGAAGAGTATGGAAAATGATAACAAGTGGAGGAGTGAGCATGAGCACTGTCATGATCACTAATTGTTTAATCAAGATACGATAATGATTTGGTGCGCAAAATTGCGTAAGAAAGTTTCGGTGCTTCCCATTTTTTATCAGTATAGTTTTTTTAGTAACAAGCTTGTTATCATAGTAAACGTAATTTTCTAAGTATTAGGATTGCTTGAATTCACGTGAAACTGATCCAATTTTTACAAGTAGGTAAGTAACAAACAAGTAGTACATAAAACACCAAATTTTATTTTTCTTATTGTAGAGTACTAAGATGACTAGTGACTCTTTAAACGTTGTGCTAAAAGCTGGGGAGTATACAGCGACATTCGCTGCTACTGGAGGAGTAGCATATTTCCTGGGTTTTGGATTCGCCACTGCGATTGTACTTGCGGTCGGTGTGTTCGGTGCATACAAATTGTACCAAATTAATCAAGGGGGCAAAAACAAACACTCCTAATTATTGTTTTAGCATTTTTCTACTATGCCAATATAAAATAATAAATTATTTTGTTTTCTTGTACATATATTTACCTCTTATTTCCATTGTGCCATTGCTGAAAAAACTGCCGTCAAAATACAGTTTGGTAATGTAATGGTGTGTCTGTTTGATGAAGAAGAAGATACTCGCCACAAGTTGTTAAGTACATTGTTCGCAATTCTCATTTATTCTATCCAACACATTCTCCTTTACTGAGTTCGGTATTTCTTAGATAATTTCAACTAGTGTTTTGATGATTTTTACATTGATGTGTGACATTATTATCGATTTTTGTTTCTTTTATCATTTCTCGAGAATGTAGGTGTCTCGGATAAAATTCCAGAGCTTATAACTTGAAAGCGGATAGAAATGATGAAATTTTAGAAACGCAATTGTTTTTAGCTTGAATGGAGACCGTTAATTTAGTATATGGCTGCGAACCTATATTTACGTGATTATTTCATTTTCAGTCGATAAAAAATAAATAAATTTTATGAATATGAAAAAAATGAAGATGATTGAAATACTAGTTTATTTAAATAAAAAAGTCATTTAAATTCTTATATTCAAACAATACGTGCTGAATAATTGATAGATTATTATTGTCTGGATCACATGAGAATCGTTATCTTGTCGGCAGCTCCAGGTTTCTGTGAATATACCGGGTGTATCGAAAATGGCGGATTAGTTCTCTAGTACGTTCTTAGCAATCAACTGAAGTCTGGAAAAAATAGTAAAGACATTCTTTCTCACATTTTGGTGAAGCTATAGGTCATTATCCGTTCTAGAAAAAAATGTGATTTGCTCTTTCTTGCTTAATTCTAAAGTGAAATGATAACATTGCATGTGTGAATTTATAAATAACATGTAGATGTTCTTCAAAATCCATACTTAACTTCATCTCAAAATTGTTGAAATTCGTTTAACTGAAAAGAACTAATGTGGTTAAAATTAAATGTTCCATAACTTCAAATTGAACATATTTGTAAAAAACCAGATGATCTGGAGACTCGGTTTCCGGTTTTAGAGCCACCTCGGTGCTCTTTAAAATGATACAAATGTTCATAAAAAAACTACAGGAGTATCTTTAAGAATAAAAAAGTTACAGGGGTTGTATCAATTAAATGAGACACCCTGTGTAATATGTATAGAAGTTATAATAATATTGCTCCACTTGCAGTATCAAACATTTTATTTATCTATGTAAAAAAGCGTTGAAATTCCTGAATGTCTCATACCTATTTTTAGTAATTACTGATCAGTGATTAGTTGAATGATTGTATTGTATTGATTTTTTGTTGTAAGTATTGTGTATACTTATCTTAAGACCAAGGAATTTAGTAGCCCCCACGAGGGGGGAGCTTTTATTTTTTAATTAGACTGATTTCATACCGTTTCGATCCTTATCAATGCTTGTTTCTTTTATCAGTTTTCTCAAATACAAGTGTTTCGGATAAAATTCCAGAGCTTATAACTTGAAAACGAATAGAAATACCGAAATTCTAGATAACATTGTATGTGTCAATTTATAAATAACATGTAGATATCAAAATTGTTGAAATTCGTTTAACTGGAAAGAACGATTGACAAGCAACAAATTTTGTGACATATTTTGGCCAAGAATTGCAATTATTATAATTAAAATTAAATGTACAGGAGTATGTCCCATTACTTCAAGTTGGAGATGTTTGTAAAAAAGCAACTGACATTACAATTAAGCTCCGCCCCTCGGCTTACGACGAATAAAAAAAACATCAGAATTTTGGGGGTAGGTGGGGCTTATCTTTGCCTTTTTTTATCTTAATATACATAGCCATCTTTTCATAACAAGATACTCAAAACATTATTAAAATGGTACATTTTTGCAAGAAAAGATGGATTTTGCAATTATAGGGCGGAGCCTAATTGCAAAATCGATATTTCCTTATACAAATTGTCCATTTTAAACATGTTTTAAGTTTCGTGTTGTGAGAAGATGTCTACACATATTAAAACAAAAAGACAAAATGTAAGCCCGCCCACCCACCCTATTTCGATTGTGATGATTTTTTTATTCGCCGTGAACTAAAGAGGTGGAGCTTAACTGCAAAACACTTATTTCTTAAAAAGAAATGAAAAACATGTTTTTGAGTATCGTGTTATTCAAAGAATACTAGATACATTAAGAAAAAAAGATAAAATATGAACCCCACCCGCCCACCCCCCTCAATTTTGATGATTTTTTTTATTTTTAGAAAAGTAAAACATGTTTAAAATGGTAACGTTTTTAGGAAAGTATCGATTTTGCAATTAAACTCCGCCCACAGGGTGGGTGGGTGGGGCTTATATTTTGCCTTTTTTAAAATAAAGATTTTACAATTAAGCTCCGCCCCTCGGCTTAACAACGAATAAAAAAAATCATCAGAATTGAGATAGGGTGGGTGGGCGGGGCTTATATTTTACCTTTTTTTTTCTTAATATATGCAGACTTATTTCTGCAACCAGAAACTTAAAACATGGTCAAAATTATACATTTTTGCAAGGAAATATAGATTTTGCAATAATGGGGCGGAGCCTATTTGCAATATCGATATTTCTTTATACAAATTTTTCATTTTAAACATATTTTAAGTTTCATGTTGTGAAAAGAAGTCTACACATATTAAAACAAAAAGTCAAAATGTACCATTTTAATCATGTTTTAAATATCTTGTTGTGAAAAGATGACTATGTATATTAAGAAAAAAAAAAAGGCAAAATATAAGCCCCACCCACCCACCCTGTCTCAATTCTGATGTTTTTTTATTCGTCGTGAGCCAAGGGGGCGTAGTTTAATTGCAAAATCGATACTTTCCTAAAAACGTTACCATTATTGTGCCTTTTTTTTTCTTACTGTACTTAGTATTTTTTGAACAACACGATACTCAAAAAAATGTTTTTAATTTCTTGTAAAGATTTATGTATTTTGCAGTTAAGCCCCGCCCCCTTGGTTCACGGCCAATAAAAAAATCATAACAATCGAGATAGGGTGGGTGGGCGGGCTTATATTTTGTCACAATATCAAGTGTGACAGTAGAAGTCGGTCAGAATAAACCACGCAAAAACCCCTTTGGAGAGCTTTTGCCAAACCAAATTAAAACACAGGGACGAAATGTACCAAACTAATTTAAAACACAAGGAGGAAATGTACCAAACTATTAAAGGGCAAACTTCAAGAGTACGAGGACAAAGTGAACGAAATTTTTCCTTCGTACTTTCCAGTATCCCATAAATAAATGGTAAATTATGTATTTTGTTTTCTTGTAGGCTCGGAACAATACATTTATTTATTCTTTATTTTAAGTATATAATCGCTGTTGGAAAAACTGTCCATTAAAGAGAAAAAAGTTTAATAATGGAACCATATGTCTGTTTGGGGAAGAAGAGGATACTCGCTACGAGTTGCTACATTGTTGTTTTATTGGATAGATCTAAAACTTTAAGAATATTTTGTTAATTTTTAAACAAATTCCAGTATAAATGCACGTCCGTTTCGTGATGAAGAGGCTACTCGCTACAAGTTGCTTTTAACTGAAAAATTAGTGTAAGAAAATTGGGGAAATATGGCCCAGTTTTAGACACTGCTCGTATCGTAAATATCAGTTAATTACTGAACATCATAAATAAAAAGAAAAAAGTGAAAACCTCCTCGCCTGCTTAGTGTTTTCCTGGCTAATGATTAAATTAGCAAAGCAATCCCAATTTTACGAGCTTCGCAAAGCAATAAAATCCGCAAGTATTTACAACCGCTGTTAAATTAAGTAATTTGTTATTCTATTCACAGCAAATTGGGCCCCCCGATAAATGCAACGATTCTAATCTGATCCAGATAATAATTATATCAGTTATTCAGCACGTATCGCTAGTAATGTTTATTTTGGGCTCGGCTTCAATGGCATTGTATTAAATTATGCTGTAATGGTTGTTCCCGAACCGTTCGAACAACCCCAACCCCATTATCTCCGCGTTTTCGCGAACCCACTGTACACCAGACGACTTTTCCGCCTGCCTGCCCCCGTTACGTCATGCATCGATAATGGCGTCTTCATTTTTCGACCCATTTCACTAATACAAGCCATTGTTTCCACTTATTGCATAAGCTGATTGCTCGGCGCAAAAAGGTCTTGAACTTTGCCGAACTCGCGCTGTGTAGGAAGTCAAGGTTTGAATAAACAATCGTTTAGTGCTTTTTTACGCGAGGCGACGTTTTAAGGCGCAATTCGCGCTGGAACGTCTGAGACTCAATTTGTTTTCTCATGTTTACGATTTATTTAATCTTCGACGAGGAGAAATAAACAAATAGTGTATGTCCGCTGGGTGCAGAAGAGGAGACTCGCTACAAGTTGTATGTACAAATTCGCCACACTCACTCCGATTTTTCCTGACCGGAAGGGTCATAAATTTCGCCGAGATTCATAAGAACGCATCGCAGTCGGCGCTGCGTGGGTGCAAGTGACGTGCCGGACGTAAAGGGAATTCATATGCGCATATTCAATTTTTTACGTCAAATTCGAGCAAATTTTATTCAAGATGTGGTAAAAACGAGATTTATTCGTCGGCGCTTCGCGGGTCCACCTCGGGACCTCTTCTGTTTCCTATGCGCTAATTTGCGTGGTGTTATTGGCGATCCGGAGACTGGACGGTTTCGCGCCACTAAAGCATGAAAATGGTGAACACGGCCCTGAATTATTTAACACGTTGTCGCAGAGAGTGGACAATAAAACTACAAATTGGATTAAGGGCGTGCCTTATCTATAATTCAGGGATCTACTAAGGCGAGAGTCGACTTGAGCGAGTGGGCTGGGAGGGCAGGGTGCGTAGTTCAAAAACTACGAAGCAATTTCATAGTTGTCCAGATTAAAAAGGGCTCAAGTCAGCCCCGTAGCTACGGGGGGGCAAGAGGGGGCTGAGCCCCCCCTAGCAGTTGTGGTTGCCCCCCCTGGAAGACTTATATATTATAAATTTCAAATTAGTAATAAAATTTCAATATAATGCCGATTGCCGAAGCA